CTGCAGAGGGACCAAACACCAAACTGTCACAGGCACCCAACACCAACCTGGCACGGGTACCCAACACCAAACTGTCACAGGTACCAAACGCCAAACTGTCACAGGAACCCAACACCAAACTGTCACAGGTACCAAACACCAAACTGTCACAGGTACCCAACGCCAAACTGTCACAGGCACCAAACGCCAAACTGTCACAGGCACCAAACACCAAACTGTCACAGGCACCAAACACCAAACTGTCACGGGCACCCAACGCCAAACTGTCACGGGCACCCAACGCCAAACTGTCACGGGCACCCAACGCCAAACTGTCACGGGTACCCAACGCCAACCTGCCACAGGGGCTGTGCTCACTCAGAGCTGCTAATGCACCTGCACAGAAAAATCAACACGGATCCACAGCAGGACAAATTACCGCAATTCATTGCTGAGGGAACCTGTGCCAGCTCCTTTTCTATGTGCTCCCTTGTGTGCTGCCAAACATGCAGTGGGATTCCTGGGAGACCACCACAGTGAAATATCTGCACATCTGTACCTGCTTTCCTTACTGTTTTGAACAAATTTAATCTACTGAATATTCTGCTGTTGTCTTCACAAATCAAGGTTTGTCCCTTTATGTACTAAATGGAGCATTTTACATCAGCAACTCCAGGTACTTTACATGGAGTTAGGATGGAAATCCTACACTGCAACATCAGAAATATCAAGAAAGTTCTGCACTACTGTGTAATTGTCTCCTGCAATTTACTTATTCCAGCAAGCTTGGTTCTTTAATCTATCTGGGTATTTATGAAACATCCTCATAATTTTGTGTTAATACAAGAACACCCTTGGATTCTTCAAACATAATCCAAGATATCAAGAAATGTTGTGCAGCTCTGGCTTTACAGCACTACTAGTTTTTTAAGACATAAAATGCACATTTGTATCATACTGACCACAAGAGCACTTGTCATTTCACACCCCAGTGTACCTGATTTTTGTTTGGGTTCTCCATGAAAACACACTGCTTCATTATGTACGACACAACAGCATTCCCTCCCAGAGCTGCAACGTGGGCTCTCACCATGGCAAACACTTCAGCAATGAAGGCGTGCAGGAAGCCACTGACACCACCCTCCTGCAATGGAAAAAGACATCACAGATGGCACTGGGCCTGGCTACAAGGTGCTGGGTGCTTCTCTTACACATCTCTCAGCTGAACAACTCAGTGAGTCCCACATGGTGGGGAGACTTTAAAGCCATTCCTGTTTGAAGGGTCAGTCACAAATCAGATGGAGAGAGAGCATTGACAGGGGCCTGCAGTGACAGACAAGGTGGGATCCTTGCTGGGATCTGCTGTCACAGACACCAAAGCTCATCAGCTACTGAACCTGGACCTACACAGTCTGCACTCAGTCCAGCAATGTCCTGTGACCATTTCCCTGCTCTGACATCCTTCTGGAAACACTGTCCTTTTCACGCATGGATTTCTCAAGTTAGAAGGGGAAGGTGAAAGTAACTTGCAAGATCTAAACAAAATGTTTGTCTGATCCAAGTTTCTCTAGAGAGTTCGCAGCCTATTTTCAGGAAGACTGATCATTTTTACTAACATCTGCTCTGTAATTTCAGCAATGTGTAATTGGGAAAAACCAGCAAACTCTTCAGCACTGACAAGCAAGGCAAGAAGTACACTCTGCTTCTGTGGCCAAAAGCAAAGATACAGCTACTTCCCAAAGGACAGGAAAATTAAAAGGAACATGGCTTGCATTTTCGCATGCTCAGAGATTATCTGTTTTCCCAACGCAGAATGGAGCTCAGGGATTGAACCTCACCTCTAAGCTGGTTGCATGGTCACAGACTCAGGGTGTAATTTTTGATGCTCAAAACACAAAGTTTAGTTACAGAGAATGCACAGAATGTAATGTTACAAGTCAGCATAACATTATCTATGATTTGGGCAATGTTATATTAACCAAAGAATTAACCAAATACACTGTGAACCTTCCTCACTGAGCTAGCTAAACGAGAGAAGAATAGATGACTTGTATTTTTCTTGAGCATTTAATTTGGGCTCAAATGATCCCATCCTCTACCACTGCTGGTCAATGACACATTTTTTCCATAGAGTTCTGTTTAAGAACTCCCTGGTTTAGTGTTCTGCCCAAATCAGCAGCAGTGGCAATTGTTAACCAAGCCCTTCCCAACAGTGCCAGACAGAAAATGGCTTCATGTGCTCTGTGACAAGAGCAGCACAAAGGAGCTCGTTCTGCACTCAGCACCTTCCCCCAAGCGACACAAGTTCTACCCCCTGGCTGTGCCACAGCTCAACTCAAACCTCTGATTGTTACAAATAACACAAACTCGCTCCCTGGCACCAAAGGCAGCCCGGCCACGCAGCTCACCTCGCGCAAGGAAGTGGTTTCTCGGATAAAAAACATGTTGATTATCCCAAGGTATTTGGTTATTTTCGCCCCAGGGAGGAAGGAAAGAGGAGTCATCTTAACAACTGAGACAGTGGAATTGGTGCCCGACGGGACAGAACGGTGCCTCAAGTACCCCTCAGCCAACGGACTTGCCTTTTCAAGGGAAGGAGCTGAAAAACGGGAAAAAACAGCAGGAAATAACTATCGAGATCCATCAGTGCTCCTCAAAACACAAAAACTCTTCTTTATGGTTTTCCAAATAGCTTGGTGACAACATTCAGCTGCCTGTGATGCTCAGCCACATACGTGAGAAAGGAAATCATCATGCAAAGCATGCAAAAGGAGACAAGAAGCTGGAATGGCATTTATTGAGAGAGTGGCATTCCTGCGAAAGGAAAACATTGAGGCGAGCAGCTGCACACACAACCGTCAGTTATAATGTGAAGGTAAAGGAAAAAGTGCCAACATTTTGAAACATGTATTCTGCCGGAAGAACAAATTATAGGAAGTGTGAAAGTTGTTGTGTTTCCCCAGTGCAGCATTTTCCATTAAAACAGGTATTAATCTCTGCTAATTTAAGCAAGATAGTCAGACCTGTGGCCAAAGAACTGCTGAAAACCAACTCACCACTTGCTAATTTAGTGACCATTGCCTTGACTGTCCCCTTGGTGATTGCTTCCTGTTTCTCACCCCCAATTTTCCAAGATCATACATACACCTACATCCATGCAGTGGATGTTATACAATTAGTAGGCGTACACACGTATGGAGAACTAATTACAGCAAGACTTCATTTGGCTTTTTATGCTACGGTTCATCAACCCTACGTGAGGTTACAGAACAATGCCAGCAGTTTTCACCCTCACACGAGATCTGCAGTGCTCCTGCCGGGCAGGGCACTCCCCTAAGTCACCACTGGGAAATCAGAGATATGTCTGAGATTATCAGAACGGGGTAGAAACAGCCGCCTACTTGTCTTAATTGATCCGCGCCTTATGGTCTGAGCTTTCAGTTTAATGAGCTCTATCCAGCTGTTGCATCTGTCTGCAAAGGAACTGTAATCAACTGACGTTGCTGGAAACACAGACAGAAAAACAAAAGAAAAAAAAACAGAAAAAAATATATGGATGATGTCTCTTGCTCATGTCAGCGCTCCTTTGTGAGGAGGCAATGCTTCCTGCCTGAGAGAGAACAACCATCCGTGTGCAGCTCTGCTAAGAGCAAGAGTTACAGGCTGGGCTTGGACTGCTCCAAACCAAAGCACCAAAGTACCCATTTCTGGTGGTGTCCCACCTCTGAACCACTGCCTGAGTGGGACTTCAGCACTGAAAAAACATGCAAATACAGTCATTAAGGACTTATGCTAGATTAGGTTCTTTTATAATCTCAATTTAGGCTGTAAGTTATGGCTTTTTAAACTTGATTTAAGCCTTTTTTAATTTTCATTGCTTTTTTTTCCCTTACAAAGAGCTGCTGATCAGGATTTAAATTTCCCAAATGTCTTTATCAATAACTAACCTACAGAGTGAAAAAAGAAAAACCTTTGGTGATGAGGATAAGAGTCACAAACTGAAACAACACCTCTGTTTGAACACAAATGAGTTTCCCTTAGAGAACACTCTCCCCTGCCCCACATCCTCCCTCCAACACCCCTCCCACTAGCATTACAATAGGAGTAAGAGTTGTTTCTGCTATGACTTTTGGTATTAGTTGCAGGGGTGTTTGCACATCTTTAAAAAAAAGGGGGGGGTTGCAAACACCGTTTCTTCATTCCCCTGAAGAAACGGGAGGAACACATGCTGACTTCAAATCAACACAGGCAAAACAGCTCTCTGCCCAGGGACTCATTGTCTGTCACATCAAGTTACATCAATGCACCCGACAGAGAGGCTGTCATTACCACAAATCTAACTTTATCATGAAAAATCACACCAAAATATTAGGATCTCATTAAGCCACACCAGAGCATGCACTCTCAGTTAAGTAGTAAACACTTCCTGGAGTAAGACTCATCCAAAAAGAGTATACCAATATCCCAAGAATGCTCAATCTGTTCTGGCAGATGGCTAAATTAAGGGAACTCACCTCTCTGAGCAGCAGGAATACCTGTGTGGGAGCTTGCACCCTCCAGGGCTTCTAACAAAACAAAATTAGTTGCGTTCAGATCATCTCTTAGGCACAGTTACAGGACAACAGCTTCCAAGCAAGATGGCAGGGACTATTTGCAAGGGCCTGGAGTGAGGGGCAGGGGAACGGCCTCCCAGTGCCAGAGGGCAGGGCTGGATGGGACAGTGGGAGTTGTTCCCTGCAGGGCGGGCAGCCCTGGCACAGCTGGGGCTGCCCTGGCCAGGCTGGACCTGGGGCTGGAGCACCTGGGATGTGCAAGGGGGCCCTGCCATGGCAGGGGTGGAATGGGTGGGATTTAAGGTCCCTTCCCACCCAAACTACTCCACTGTTGTGTGACCCTTATGAAAGGTTTTACAGTCAAGTATGAAAAAACCCCACCCTCTACATAGTATCCTGTGTACTTTGATAACAGTTAGTGTAAATAACTCACTTTACTAAATCTACCTTGCAATTTTAATATGTTTATTCATCAAAGGTCACTACTGTATAAGACTGTAAACCAGTATTTCTAAAACAACAATCCTACAAAAAGTAGAGATATGCTAAATAACCTGTGAAGCAAATGTAAGTAGAAGGAGGTTGTGAAGAAATGACAGATGGAATAATTTCCAGGCGGAACTGCTGTGCCTGCAGCCCGATATGGGATGTGGAGAGCAGAGCAAAAGGGGTGCATGGGAACAGGCTGCCCTCCTCTGGCCACTGCCCAGCTATGGCTACAGACACCAGCAGCCATCTCTGGAGAGCTTCTCGTTTTGAGAATTAAAAGTGCAGCAAATTAAAAGGTAAGCATTAAAAAAAAATCAGTAAGAATCTTTTTGCTGAAACTAATCTGGCCTCTGAAAATACAAGTAAGTGTGGAAGGCACTCTTCTTTACACAAAAAAAGTAACAGGCAAAAAAGAGAGCTCAAACATTTACAGTAACTCCCAGATATTTAATTTCCTCCCAGTAACCATTTTGGTAGATAATCCAACAAGGGAGAAGGAATTAAAGACAGATTTCAATGAACTGAATTCTTAATGAAGCCATGGAAGAACTGTGACAGCCATTCTTGAACTGCAGCTCTCTCTCAGGTAAAATAAAGCAGCTGTTTAACAGCTGCAGTGTGCTGCACTGGACAGATTATTTACTATACAAGGTTAGGCTCCTTTCACTCAAAGGAAATTTACATGCAATCAGTATCTGGCAGATAAAGAATTTTCCATCATGAAAACAATGAGATTAATTCTGAGAGGCTGAGAAAACATGAGGTACTTTATATGGCCACTTCAATATGGGACAAGGCTAATTATCAGGTAATTGATAGTTCTGTCAGATGACACCCAACACCCAGTGCCTTGCAGCACCTTCAATATTCTAAATGCAAAGACAGAAAATATAGACAGAATGATCAGCCAAGCCATCTTCTGTGACTCTCAAAAAATACCACAACAGGAGTAAATGTACCCATTATGCTGAGGCAGCAAAGCACATTTAAAGCCTGTGAAGTACAGATATTTTAAAGCCTCTACAACTATGAAAGAGCAGAACTCAAAACCCATAAAAAACAACAGTTGAATATCCTTCCCTTTAACTGACCTTTAGCTGGAGAGAATGGTTGAGAAGAAAGGGGATCAGAGGAAAGTTCCAAGGGAAACTGGAGCTGTTCTTCATTGTCTGTAGATGCTTCAAGAAAGAAAACATGGCCAACTGATAATTAACCCCAAAATAAGATTTGCCAGTAATTACAAGCAAAGTCAGTTTAGCCAGGTCTGACTTGAGCAGGTATTTTCAGCATGTGCATAAAGTGATGCAGTTGTGCAAAAACAAATCCAGCTGCAACACTGAACAGAGCCTGTGTTCCACTGAACAGGATTTGAAGTTTTTAGGAGAAAAATGAAGGCCATTCATGCATTTTTATTTTGATTCTGCAGTTGGATCTAGGTCAGCTACCATAATAAAGGTGACCACTTATTTCACATGAAAGGCAACACCTCACTCCACTGAAGAAGTCAGCTCTGACTAATGTTTTAGAAACACGTGGCTCTGTTCCAGTATTTAATTCCAGTCTGAAGACTGAGTGTGCTCAGAGCTCTGTCTGAGCCCCCACTGCAGACTGCACCCTTGCATTTCTAGCAGGAGCTGCTGCTTCATTGGCAAGGTGACATCTGCAGACCACAGCAGTCTATTCCATGTGCTCCACTCAACTCCAAAACTATTACTGACCTGCCCAAGGGTTTGCAGAAGGCTGGGGTTTTTTAAAAGTATTGCAAATTATTTATTTTCCACCTTCTTCAAGTACAGACAAAATTTATACTTATAAGAACAAGTATTCCCTGATGAGTTACACATGTTCCAAAATACAACAGAAATATCATCATCTGTTACACCAACCTTTTAATCAAAGTAGTATCATAGAATAACAAAGTATTAGAAATTTTCTGTTTATTGAAAATAAATATATAATACTTGATAAGTAAGTAATTCTGCTGGAGGTCAAGTCCATGAACTCTAAAAAACCTCTATGTGTTGAAAGACCCCCTCTGAAAAATATGTATATTTGAACTTGATGATCCTTGTGGGTCCCTTCCAGCTCAAAACATTCTGTGGTCTGTGATTGTACATGTAACTGAAATCACAATCCAGACTCATTAGGCACTGGGGATAAAAAGGAAAGATTCCTCACAATATTTACCTCTTTGCTGTGATTTTTCTGTAGGTGCTTTGTTGGCTTGTAGTGCTTGGTTTTTGTCATATGTAATGGCAACAGCTGTGACTGCAATCTGCAAATCAGGAATATTTGGCATATTAGCTAAGTTGATCTCTTGTGCAATCTGAAAAATAATTTTGCAAACAAGCAGTTCTTTGCATAGAAACATAATAAGGAAAAACTATCTAAGAACTCAGCAGCCATTTTTTGCTGAAATTAAGAGGCAGCAGTAAATCAAATCCTGGCCCAGGTTACCCTGAGCAGCAAGCACTCCAGGCTGTGCCTGGAGACAGCAATTCCCTCACCTGAACCAGCCCATCCCAATTCCCTCACCTGAACCATTCCCAATCCCTCACCTGAACTCCAGTTCACCCCAATCCCTCACCTGAACCAGCTCACCCCAATCCCTCACCTGAACCATTCCCATTCCCTCACCTGAACCATTCCCAATCCCTCACCTGAACCATTCCCAATCCCTCACCTGAACCAGCCCATCCCAATCCCTCACCTGAACCATTCCCAATTCCCTCACCTGAACCATTCCCAATCCCTCACCTGAACCATTCCCAATCCCTCACCTGAACCATTCCCAATCCCAATCCCTCACCTGAACCATTCCCAATTCCCTCACCTGAACCATTCCCATTCCCTCACCTGAACCATTCCCAATCCCTCACCTGAACCATTCCCAGTCCCTCACCTGAACCATTCCCAATCCCTCACCTGCACCATTCCCAGTCCCTCACCTGCACCATTCCCAATCCCTCACCTGCACCAGCTCATCCTCGGGCAGAGCCACGGTGAAGTTGACGTGGCAGAGGCAGCAGGGCACCATGGAGCGCAGCTTGAAATACAAGCTCTGATGGAGACAGGAGAGCATTTGTGTTACTCAGGGAAAAAGGGGGGTTTATGTCAGGGGAATTAGGGATCAAAACTCTCTGCATAGCACAAGTCATTAGATGACATGAATCTTTTCTGGAAGAAGTACATTTGTGAAGTCAGGACAGAATGCCATTTGCTGTGGAGCTGTCTATTTCTAGAGTATCCTGCTGGTCAAAGGACTCCTTCAGGTTCCACAAGCTCTGGAATTCCCTAACACACTAAAACAGGCTGAACCTATCTTTACAGAAACTCATGAGCTAATTACAGACACTCTGCAGTCTATTTCCAAAATAATGAGGCACATGTTAATTCAGTGCGGCTGAATTTTCCTTGGCCCCCATTTGAACACATAAAAAAGTATTTGAAATTAGATTCTTACCTTCAGCAGATTCTCACAGAGATCATTAAAGTTCTTATTGAGTGTTTGATTTGTTGGGTTAATGTTGCTTAATCTGGACACTCTAACTGCTGTGAACATCTGAATTAGAAACAAACATGGAGATTTTTGGCCAACATATGCAAATATATTTTATCCACTGTCTTAAACCCACATTCATAAAGAAGGAAAATAATGTAAAATATGTTAACATTTATGTTCAATAAGTAACAAAATAAGTTAGCTAAGCAACACAATCAACAATCTGTTCCCTTTAAGGGGCTTCAAACCAAGCCAAACCTTTCAAAAAGCCAAACCCATGAAGTTTACATTTACTGTAATTACTTTCGTATTTCCATATTAGATTATTTGTTACATGACAGCATTTAAAAAAACCAACAAAAACCCAGGTTCTCATACCTTATTCTTACCAAAATACTACTTTTATTTCTGTCACAAGGGTGTCCTTTGAATTTAGCTTTCAAAATAAATATTTAAATTACTACAGCATATTTCAACACAATTTAGCAAAAGTTTCAATTTTGAATAACCTTACTTGAATTTCCGGCGTCCAGTTATTTATACCAGGCATAATTTCTGTGTTGCAACTGTAGAAACCTGTGAAGAAAATATTTGTGAGAAAATTATATTTTATACGCTGCAACATAAAAATACTCATAAAGGAAACACATGTGACAAGGCTTTGCAAGTATTTTCCCTCCTGTGCTTTTGAATATTAGACCAGAAATGAGATCAACATTCAAGAAAAAAATACAGAATCCTTGTAGGAGGGGCCAACACCCCAAATCCACAACTGCTCCACCTATTTCTATTAGATAAACTATGCACAAATGAGGAAATTTTTTTAAAAGGTGTGATATGAAAAGCTCAAAAGCCAACCTTTACCAGAGAGCACAGTAAAGGCTGTAAAGGAGCTACAGCAGTGACTGATTGCAAATGAAAAACAGAATTATAATGCCTAAACAGCAGAGTAAAATAATTTATTAACAGCAAGTCAGTGATTCTGCAATCCTGAAGATAAAGTTAAATAAGCAGAAAAGAGCCCAGTCTGGGAGGGCCTACATAAAAGCACAAAATGAGCTAGAAAAGAAATTGTGTAGCAGCTTGCAGAGGGTATAAATATTAATGGACTGTTTTTCAGAACATCAAAAGCAAAAACTCTGTTGAGGAATCAAATAAGGTTTAGAAAGGATATGCAGAAACAATACCATGAGAGCAGAAAACATGCTTTTAGTGCAGTAGAGCTTTCCACAACAGCAGAAAAGCAGCGCCCTGTTTATTTGTCCTGAACAGGCAATGTCTGAGGGAGACACTGAACAACAGGCCAATGAAAAAGGATTGCCATAACTCACATGCAGAAGAGGATAACACAAGGTGATGGCTGATGGCCTTAATTCAGAGCAGTAAAATCAACTGCAGCAGAACTGGGTAATCAGTGAGGAGTAAAAGAATTGGTGATAGTAATGGATAATACAAGGACAGTTCTAGCTGATACTACAAGATCAACACTGGTCTCAGTTATTAGGAATAACTGATTCAGTGATAATAATAACCACAGTGATCTGAATTCTGAGCCCAAAGAGGGCATTCATTCCCCTCAGCTTGAGTTTGTTCATCAGACTTTCTCAGAAGAAACACAGGGAAATTCACAATGAAAAGCAGAAGGACAAGGACAAATCAAATGTCCAGAGCAATTTCTACATAATAGACACCTACATTTGCCTCTTATCCAGATCCAGCAGTTCTGCTGGGAAAGGTATGACATATCTATACAACAAGAAATAGCATAAAGACAACTGATAGCAGGCAATAATTAGTTCTCCATTCTACTTTCATTACCCTGAAACCTGCAAATCCATAATTCAGTCTAAAAACCTTCAGAAACAGCAATAGTGTCAGTTCTCTTGGAACTTTTAAAATAATTTTTAATAAAGCTATAATATTTTGTCATTTTGCAGCCTACAGCATAAATGAGAAAAATATAGTTGTAACTATACCAGAAGGTGGTGGAACATCTGTCAGTAAAGAATGCACATCTTCCATTGCATCCGTGTCATCAATCTGCAAAAAGGGAATAATTGAGAAAATAATGTCGCTGTGCCAGTAGGAAGCTTCCAAAAGAAATCAAATAACCTCCATCCCATTCAACCTTTAACACTTATTTCAGATCAGACTGAGAGCCCTGCTAGCTGCTGTAAATATTCTGGTGTGCCTTTACATCCATCCTGTCTTACTGCCCTCCAAGAGATCCACATTTACCAATAACTGCCAACATTTTCTTATCCAGAGTATGAGAAATGGTTATAATTTAACTCCAGTACTGAAGGGTTTTCTGTCAAGTGATGTGTCTCCTTCTCCCTCTCCATGTAAAAGGGGTTGTCTTTCTTTCCTTCAAAAAACAACCCAAAAACTAACCAAAACCAGCTCAGGTATCTTTAGCTCTCATAACTGCCTGCTCAGCCTCCTTCAGCACATCCTCAGCACAATGAAATTTTTATTACTTTTTCTTATATAGCTCAGTGAACAATGATTTTACTCTTGAAAGCTTGGTCAGGAGTTCAACTAAATCTTCTGGAATATTGTTTCTGATATCCAATTAATCATAAACCAAACTTTTCAAATAAGACAGTAGTGAATGATTCCACAGATAAAAAGGAATTTTTTTCTATAAATGCCTTACAAAAATCCTCAATTTTTTACAAAGGTGTTCGACCCTTTTTGCAAAAGCACCAACCAATCTAAATTTATTATCCCAAACTCTCCCAACCTGTTATTTTTTCACTCTCCTTCCATACTTCTGTTTTCAAACAAACCCTGTTATAGTGAGTGCTCCCTCATTCCTCCTATCTACAGCCTTTCTTCCAGACTATTTTCCATGAAGATGGTGATTTGTGAGGATTAAGAAAGCCTCAGATGTACCTCAGGCTGCAACTGCAGGCTGCATTTTGAAGTGGATTTCAGTCAGTGACAGGTATTTGTACTGTCTGTCTCTACAGGATGACCAAACTCCAGCCCCTTTTCAACACTTGCTGGAGCATTAAAGGCTTCAAAGCACACAATGCTCAATTGTCTTTGAATTTCAGTGGGGAGAAGTAACAGAAATCTACACCCTTTATTTGTCTGCAGGTGTTGCTCTTTCTGCTTGCAGCTGTAGAAACAACTGGAAGGTATTGTCACAAGCAGTGAATTCTTAAATTGTGAAAAGCAATAGCAGAAATTCACAAAATCTTCTTTTATGTGCTGTCTTGGCACATGCAGTTTTTTGAATGCTTTGAATACATCCCATTCTGGAAACTAATAATTCTGAACGCTTATCTACCCACAGTAAGAGCTTTGAAACAGGAGAAAAATACAACCTTTTTATTTGCTAGATATAAGGTGTGGCAACACAGAACCTCAGTGTTTATGAAAGTAGATCTTGAGTTTTTGATTAGTCTGATCTGCTGCTTGAATCAAGCAGAAGGACATTTAACAGCTCTTAATTATTAATCTAGAGACTGCTACATATTCATGAACAGCAGGGCAATCTTTTTTCAGATAGTCTGTAGACACAGCTGTTCTTTAAGCAAATAGAGTAAGGAAAAGAGAGACAAAGCAAATCTAATACTTCCCTTTTTCTATTGATACAAAAGGGAAAAAATCATACACAATCTAGGAACTGTTCTTGGAGATGAGTAAGCAAAGTTTTTTTAATATATATTTCAGGAGAGGAAAATTATGAAGATGAGCAGTGCAAATGTTTATCACCTCCAAGACAAAAGCATCCTTCTTCCCATGGGAAAGGTCAAGCTCTGTAACTTCATCAGAGCTTTCTGACTGAGATCTCAACAGCCTGGAACGCTGTCTTGGCTCTGGAATGGGAGACCCAATAATTTCTTCAGGTAACTCCTAAAAAGAATGGAAAAATTAACAGATGTTCTGCCCAGCTTAAAAAAAATTCAACTCTCCACAAGTTGTTAACAATTCTAACAATCAGATCCTTCTGAAAATCATTCTACTGAGAAATACATCTAAATAATACCACAGTGGTTTGGCTATGTGGCAAAGGGATCTGAGAATTCCAGCAGCTTTCCAAAATCCAGTGGAAGAAGTCTGTATCTCTATTTGTAAATAAATTTCTGTTCCAAATGGCTCAGTAAGAAAAAATGGATATGCAGTGCATATATTTGAATCAGAACACTTTATTTTTTAAGAATCAAAGATTTACTTACTGGAGGATTAATCTCATAGAGTTCCTTGTTCTTTGCTATTGTATCATTGATTTTCTTTTGCATATGGGATATGTGCTGCTCGTAGGTGCCATCATTTGGAGTCTTGCCAGCAATCTGAATGCCCCCAGGCGTGGGCAGAGCTGCTAAATACACACCTGTTGCAGACTTATCAAAAGTCACAAAGAAAGAGACAAATATATGAGCCTGAATTCCTGATATTTTCATATAAAGCTTTGGCATATTAGCTAAGTTGATCTTGTGCTACAACAGCATTGTAACATGCAAATCACAGCAGCACCTCTTGTAAATAAACAAAAGGATCTTTCTCTTCTGTTCACTTATGAAAAACTTCACTATTCTTTTGGACAACTCCCTCTTTTCCATTTCTCACGGTGGAACTCTGAACTCTGAAACTTGCCTAAAAATTCCAAACAAACTAAAAATTAAAGCCTCTGCCCCAGTATGCTTTGCATAAGTAAATAGTTTGAGTTTTTGAAGATCTGAAATTTGGCCAAACCATGTACAGCATCAGTGAGGTTGTGAGAACCCCATTTCCATTTTCAGGAAACAGACTGTGAAAGACAAAAGAAGATTGCAGCCAGAATTACCCCAGCATCCCCTGATGCAGGAAGAAGCAGCAAATTCACTAGTCTAATCTAGCATGAAAGAATGGGGTTAGAAACTATTGTTAATGAACATCTCTTGACTTTCTCAAATCTATAATTTATTTCTTCAGCTCCATCAAAGAAGAGGCAACGGAACTTCCCCTTGTTGCCAAATAACCAAAACATTTCCTGACAGGCTTAATTGACCTTATTTGTCATGGAACTGCAAATTCAGTTTGAGGAACAGGGACCTCTTTGACAGGACCTTTAAAGAATACCATCTTTTTCTACAACTTGTGCCAATTAACTGTTTGAAGTTTCTTTTTCTCTCATCCTCTTTTTAATCATCTTATCTTTTACCATTTTCAAGCTATTTGAATCTTCTTCTGCTGGTTATGAAGGACAAGTCTGTCCTGATTTTACAATAATTAAGATACTTGCTCTTAAAATGACAATTTAATATGTCTGATGACTCTGAATCCCACAACACTTGCATGTTTTCCTGAAAAAACACTGTAGGAAAGCAGACGCAGCCCAGGATCCCAGCAGTACTTACTGCCAAGCCCATCAGCATGTTTTCCCCCACAGTGATCTGAATTCTGAGCCCAAAGAGGGCATTCATTCCCCTCAGCTTGAGCTTGTTCATCAGCTGTGTGTGCACTTCGTACTCCATGAAGGGCAGCAGGTTGCTGATGGAGGTGGCGTTGGCCTCAGCCTGAGCTTTCTTCTTCAGCCGGCACAGCCTGGAACAGGAGCACAGACAGGGCTCTGGCAGGGCTGGGAGG